TAGGAAGCCTGAGATTCCATGTCCAGAATGTTGCACTTGGCTCCATCTGAAATGTTGAGGAAGAGTGGAGGATAGACAATGAGTTGCTGACTACTTGTTCTTAATAGTGGTAATTATGATTTACTAATAGTCTCGGACTTCTGAAGGCCCAGTTTAATAAGTGTGTTACAAATAACTTGCAGAAAGATTATTCTTAAACCAAGAAGTTTATGAAATAAGTACAAGATGACAACCGCTGAAAGGAGTGCTACTTTTTTCCCATATTCCTCCTTGTTTTCTTTCAGAGGCCAGTTGTTTCTTCCTGTTAACCACGGTGTGAATTATATGGAGATTGTCTGATCCTTTGCTGTCCAAGTGCTGTCTGTTTTCCTCTGTCATTCTGCCTTGATTTGTTTCTTTCGTGCAGTGTTTTCTGGCCTTTCCCACTCTAGTTTTAGTGTACGCATGTGTGTCCTTTTTTCATGTAGTGCGTAAGCGACAATCTGCTTATTTAATTTTAATTAGTTAGTAATCCACTCTGATATATTTACACATTTAAGAGAGAAGGCAGTACTGTTCTGTCTCTAGTTGGTCTTGTTTCCTAGCCCTGCTTTTCCTCCTTTTTGTCTTAGAACATAGTGCTTTAATCATTGGTGCTTGGCAGGAGAGGGGATTGCTTTGCGGTTTTGGCTCCTGGTTAACCAATGATGCCGTTCCCTCGCGCTTTCAGTCTTATTTCTTTGTATGAATAGAGCCCTACTGACCACATCACGATTGCTTTGTTTCTGATAGTACCGTTGTGAGGCAGGGAAGTATGGCTTTTGTTTTCTGAGTAGGAGCCTGAAACACAGGATGCAATAAGCAAAATGCTCAAAGTCAGAGAGGGAAACTGGGGCAGAGCAAGAAATACAACTCCAATCTAAGTCCAGTCTAGAATTCTCTCTTACTATTTGTTTGTTGTTAATGAGAACAGAAGTTGCAGTTGAACAGACTTATCTTCCTTTTTGGTTTGCCGAGTTCAAACTATGTGGTTTCTGTTTACTGTGTAAGGATTTTAAACCATGCTGAGTTTATGCTTCCAGTGGGGAAATTCAAGAACACTATTGAATAAAGAATGACTAATGTGCTACTTGGAAGTTACTTTGTAGTACAGATGGCTATAAATCTGATTGCATTAATTGTTCTGTTTCTTAAAATATTTGTTCTAGACTGCATGGAGATGCTATGCAGCAGAAAACCCAGACTCTTCTACATGGAAAATATACATTCGAAAAGCTGCCAGAAATTATCATTTGCTGTCACCCAGTCCAAAACCAAAGAAATCAGTGATGGTACCAGTAACTAACATTTCCTATTATAGCAATTTAAATTTTTTTAATGAAATTGAATTTGTTTACTCTCTAGAGGCTATTTGTTGTGTTTGTTTCACAAAGTATTACTTGGTTTCAAAGTTTTATTGTAATTTCAGTTTTGAGATTTTCAGTATACAAATATTTTAAACTATAACTTCATTTGCTTCAGTTCCCAAGCTTGACTCTTTTAATGGATTTATGGGTTTGGGAAAAAGCAATAATCACCTAACTCAGGCACATCAATCAGTAACTTACTGTTGCTGTTTGGAAAACTATAAGCAAATGAAAAAAATAAATTCCAAAACAGTAACTTTTAGTTTATTGCAGAAAAAAAACCTAACCAACAGCAAAACTGCTGCTTCTCTCAGCTATTGTTTTTTTGGCTTTCTAAGCTTCTGTGGTGAAGACTTCTTGTGTCTACATATGGTAGTATTTTCATATCAACTTATTCCATAAGTTACAAATTTTTTTCTAAAAAACCTTTGTCAGAATCTTTAGATTATCTAATACTTCATCCTCTCTATTGTAAGAGTATTGCACAGCAGTCTCGTGCTGGAAGGAGAGGATGTTGTACAAAAATCTTCCCTGGTATCCCAGGTTCGTCTGAGTTCAGTAGCAATATATGTATTTGCTTTTTGCTGAAGGTATGATTTATTGCATCCATAAAATGGTAAATATATTCTAGAATACTGTGATTTATATAAACTGTCACAGAGCTAGCAGATTTATTTTACTGCAGGCAAGGGATTTGCTGATGACAAAGTACAGTATTCTAGTGATTAGCCAGTTTTGGTGGGATGGGGGCCAATCTTACTGAGAAATGCACAGTGTAGGATCATGAAAATGTAATTGGTCAGGCACTTTTTTGACTTGTTACAGCTCATTGGGGACTGCATTATTATTGAAGACATTACTGAAGAGACAACTAAAGAGGGCTTGGTTTGAGTAATACAATGTGTGTGTATTTTTAGGTTAAAAAGAAGAAATTTAAGTTAGACAAGGACAATGGGCCCTCTTCTCCAGATAGGATGTTAACTGTTCCACACATCACTTATGACCATGTGACAGAGGACAGGAAAACTGATTTCAGTTTTGAAGCATACGAAAATTCTGGTAAGAAATTCCAGTAACTGTAATAGCTTCTGTTAGTGATTTACACAGAGGTCCTCATTAATATCTGTAGGAGAGAGGATGAGGACAGAACAAGCTCTTGCAATTCTAAAGCAAGAATACTTTCCTTTTTGACTTTGGTTGCTGGCTTGTCTGGATGAGATTCAACCGTTCCTTTAATGAGCATGCTCCACTGCAGACAAACTAAGATTATTTATCATTTCCGCCTGCCAGAAGAGCTACTGTCTCTGAGGTGGTGCATACATTCCCCAGTTCGGCAACTGATTGAAATGACAAGGATTAGCCGTCAGCTTTTCCACATGAAATTTACCCAAGATGCGTTACTATTGTGCTTGTACCTCAACCAAAAAGGATTGACATGTCTGGGCTGCACTGAATGTAGTCTGCTACATGAAACCATCGTGTGCTCCTGCCATCTGCTCAGTGGAGTAGGCTGTGAATCAAATTTTGAGAGCAGAAGTACTTAAGATATATGTGGATCCATCTGTATGAACTGTCACTGTACAAAATGGTGCAGTACGAGGAAAAAGAAGAAAGGACTTTGTTAGTCACCTTATAGTTAATAGCTTAGTTATAGCTGCTTTAGCTATAATGAACTTCCAAAATAACTCTGAATTTACAATGTGGCTTTTTTACAGGTGTACTTTTATTAGAAGGTTTTAACGTATATTGCTCAAATTTTGGCAGTAAGAATGAGGTTTAGCTTTCAAGGTGTTATTGATTATAGATGCCTTAAGTACTCGTGTTTTTTCTTGTCACAAATTTGTCTGACCTGATTAAATTTAATGACTTTTAACTTAAGATAGCAATGTGGGCTGGCACCAGGCATATTTTAACTCAAGCAAAGTCTCACCTTCCATTAACTTTTTTGGTACACTTCTGTCTTGGCTTGTTCTGTAACATCCATGCTTTTCCATGCTGCTTTGGCCTACGTTAAAGAATGATTGCAAATTGCATCTGGTGGCAGAAATGACATAGCTGTTAAAAGGTGGACAAGTACTAAGTTTAGGCTGTGTCAGATTTTGAGTACAGATACCTTTCTGCAAAACAATCCAATGAATGAACTGTACAAATGCTTAGATTTGTAAAGTCCCACCTTTTATCACTGGGCTTCTAAGCTGATTAAAGGACAATATCATTTGCAGGCGGCCTACTACTGCCACTTCAAAGATCAGCTCTGTAGCTTTCGGTGAAAGGATTGTCTCTAATTTCTTCTGACACTTATCTTTTTTCTTTTTTATCTTTATTCTGCTTTCTCTAAACTGTTACAAGTATACAGGACAAACAGGAATGTTAAAATTGCTTGGTAAGTTGAGGAAAATAATTCTGTCTGTGGCATGCCAGCTTATGACAATGTCATGTTTGCAGTGCTTTTCATGTGTGTCTAGTGCCAAATAGTTTCTAAGAAATCTTTTGCAGCCAAGGAGATCTAGACAGATAAAAATGTACATTCTCACACGTGTAATCACAATTGCACCCACAGTTTCATTACAAGGAGAACAGTGAGCATATATTTATATATGTAGATGATCTCTGGTTTTTTGTACTTGAGAAAAATTGCTCATGTATATATAACCAATAGATAAAGATAAGCTACATATAGATAAAGTATAATTAATCCAGTAGTTATCTGAGCATATAGCTGAGAATTAATTTCTAAACAAATAGGTTGGGATGGAAGAAAAATTTCCAGATTTGACCTCCAGTAGTGTGTATTCTGAAGTACATGCATGTGTTCCTGTAGATATTTGTGAACAGATGGGGACCCATAAATTTAATAAATTTTTTTACTGTTTGTCTGGATTCTCTGATCACTTAAGCAGCCATGTAGTCCTGTGATGTTTCTAATGTGCTTGCTCAGGCACTTTCTTAACAATTGAGTGTTCCCCAAAGACTTTAGGATTAGAGCTAGGTCTGGGCAAAAAAATCTCCGTGATTTAGTGAGAGTGCTTTAAGCCACCTGTAAGTTGTCTGCTCTGCATCCACTAAAGACCATGGAGGCTTTTTTTCAGTTGTAGAGTGCAAGGATGCTCAGACTTGGATTAAATTGTCTGAAAATACAAGGTTCAGTTTTTCCTCTGAACCCACGTGGAACCTAGGTGCAACTCAGGTGATAAAATAACAGAAAACAAACTGAATCTCCTTTACTTCATCTTGGGGAAACATTAGAGGAGCTTTGCCCAAACACCACAGGTTCAGTTTCTATTTCCTAGCCAGGCAGTGTGAGCTCGGTGAACCTGAGAGGTTACCTAACACTCTTCTCACAGTAACTCAAAGAAATAGAGGAGTGTATTTGTACTTCATGTGAATAAGATTACCTACTCAGAAAACTGAAGCTGCCAAGTCAAAAGCTCAGAAACAAGAATTTTGGAAGTACAAGAATAAAGGATGCTCATTCAGCTTTAATTTGGCCCTCAGAAAGCCTCTAGTCACTCATCCATATGCTGCTTTCTCAAATCCAGTAAATTTTTGTTCTTTCTTTGGGCTGCGCACTTATATTCAAGTTTTCACATGCCTGGATCCCCCATCTTGCTTCCCTGCCAGTATCCTTGTGCAACCAAAGACTTCCATCTCCTTTTCTCCCCTCCCCCTTGCTCCTGGCATCGTCAGTCCAGCGAAGACCCAAGAGCTGTGGCTGGAGCATGCCTAGCAGTGACAGAACACCTGCAAAAAGATTTTTTTTCAGATTTTTTAACTCCAATACACATATATTTTGAAAGTTTTTAGCTTTGCATAAAAGTAAGGCAACACTTCTGAGAAATACCACTCTGTCCCAGTGTGTGAGTCCACAGGCATTTCTTAATGAAATAGTTATTAAAAGGATAAAGCTATTCAAAAGAACTAAATATAACATAACTGTTATATTTTGCTGAGTCTCTCGTCGACCCCTCTTGCTTGTCTGAAACTTTTCCCCAAGAAATTCAGCTTGAGGCAAACACTTGGCTTAAATGGTTGAAGTGGGCAGCTTCAACTGCTTTTTATGGGGTGTGTCAGGCAGCTTCAAACATGAATGGTCCACCTGACAACACTGAAATCTCACCGGGAGCTAGCTACACCACAAACGGTATGAACGAGAGCAAGCGGGGTCTGACCCATATGAGGTTGCACACGTTGGAAAGGGAAACATTTGAGGAAACCCTAAAGTCAGGAAGCAAAGGGTAAACGTATAGGTTATTTTTCTCAAAATGGGACTAGCATGTAGGGAGGAATATCTTGCAGCAGATGACACTGTCATGAAGAATGGGTTTAAAGAGACAACGGTCCCTCCCCTAGTGGTGATTTAATATTCTGCTAACATCTAATGCACACTAGAAGAGTTTCATACAAACTCTTTTCCACAGTATTTTTTGTTTTATATTTAGAGGTGTCGGGTACAACCTACTGTTTTAGGTATGTCTGCATCTCCTCAGCTGCCTGTCTGGCGCTTTTTTCCTTCACCACCACACCCCATCTCTCTTTATTTTATGTGCATCTTTACCCTGTCTCAGATTGTCAGCGCTCCTGGCCATCCTTTTCCACAGACCAGCAGTCTTCCAGTGCTCCTTCCTCTCCAGGTAAAGCTCATAATATTTCATTGCTCCATCACCTTTGTTAATTACTAAATCTTTGTAATGCTCTGTCTGGAGTTGCCTGCTGTGGCACAGAAAATTATAGTGCTGTTTTTTAAAGAAAACATAGGCATGTCAGTAAAATTTTGAGTCTGGGAAGTTGTTCAGGTTGTAAATTGTGAACTTTAACATAAAAAAAGGTATGTTCTGCAGAACAGAGGTATTTTCTAAATACATTAATTAAAACTCAGATTTTCCATGAAATATACTTTCAAGTATTTGTCCTGGGTTTTAAATTTTTTGTCTGTGCATGCAAAAGAGGAAGTGTAGAACATTTTCTGGCTTACTAGCTAAATACTCCACTACCAGAAAAGCATCTGCATATGTGTTATATTGTATATAAAATTGCTGTGTTGATAATATAGAAAACCCATGAGTAATTTCTCAATTGGAATTTGATAGAATGGTTTGGGTTGGACGGAACCTTTAAAGGTCATCTGACCCAACCCGCCTGCAGTGAGCAGGGACATCTTCAACTAGAGCAGGTTGCTCAGAGCCCCATCCAACCTGGCCTTGAGTGTTTCCAGAAAGGTCAGAATTTCTGTTTTATAGCAGGGGTTCTCATGTTGTGGGGAGTGTATTTTCTACTTGGCTCAGCATCATCACTTGGATAGTCATGCCTGTTGCCATAGGTGCTGCGGCTACCCATTAAAAAAAGAGAAAATAAAGGTTGGTGAACCCCTAAATTATAGTAAATATCCCTTGCTACCCCTGTTTCTTTTCACTGGTTATCATCCATTGAAAACGAGTTTCTAAAGCTTCCTTTTTTTTCCTTTAGCCTACTTATTTAGAAATTTAGCGTCTTTTTTTAAAATACTTTTTTCAGCACTGCTTTGTGAGAAAGACTCCTCCAAAGTCAAATGGCTATGAATTTATTTGTATAAATAAAATATGCTGCAGCAGCACATGCTCCCTGGTGCTCTGTGTGAGCCTTGTTTCAAGGCACTTTGTGGCAGGGGAGCTCTCACTACTGCCATGTTCTTTTCTTGGTCCCTCCTCTCTCTCTGTGCAAGCAGGTTGCTTAGTAGGGTTTTGGAGTGATTCCTCCTTCATGTTTGAAGCAGCAACGTATATTTGAGAATGAGAGCATAAGGAGCAGAGACCTGCCCTGGTCACCAGAACAGACTTATCTCAGTTATGATTTTCTTAGAAAATTTTAAAATAAAAAGAGGGAGTGAGATGCCATATTGGCCTCGTGTTAAGCAGCTTTTCATCTCTCTGTTCTCAGATAACAGCACTGTCAAATAGGCTTAGGTACAGTCTTGAATTCTTGTTCCTTTTTCATTGTGCCACTCCTTCGTTCCCCTACCATGAAACTGAAAAGCAGTAACTGTGAATGATCCAAGAATAGCCGTTTCTGCAAATCCACGTGTGTACTGTGTGTATGGTAGTTCAGCAGTTTTATCACTTGTCATCAGGAAAACTAAAAAGACTGTGAGTCCGCCTTTCCTAGAAGCTGAGAAAGTTTCACTTGTATTTTGTAGTAATGAAAGCAGTGAAAATTAACCTAGTGAAAGCCAAAAGGAGTCTTTTTAAAAGACATTTTTCTGCGGATCTGAATCTGGAATTATTTTGCTTGTTTCACAGTCACTGTCTTAGATGAAGGCTACAGCAAAGTGATTAAATAACATGATACTAAAACCAAAAATAGGAAGCTAACATTTGCTAAAACTTACTATAGACTTTTCATTTTTAAGTGCTGCAAGTGGCTCCTACTTTTTTATCTCCTAGCAGTTGTGTGTCTTTTTTGTTTGTTTGTTTTTTTAAATAGTGTGATTTCAGAGATCTTCCTCTCCTATTACAATTTCTGGAAAGCAGACTTTCCCATTGTAATTTTAAATGGCGGTGTGCCTGATGATATAATAGCATTTTCTCTTCTCATTTTTTGTAAAAATTCATATCCATTTTTGCCTTATGAATATATCTTCTTGTTTGAGTAAAACGGCTGCATTTAAAAAAAAATTGTTTCCTGATATCCCCACTTTATTCTCATTGAACTCAACTACATTCGAGGTAGCTATTTCTGCTGTATTCTTTTAGCTTTTGAGTTGTGTTTTGGCAGGGCATGATTTACTGTTATGTTATAAAATATTTTGTTTAATACAGTAGGGACTTAGTAAATTACAACACTGTAATTATTTCATTGGATGATACAGCCAGTTTTACAGATAAAGATTTCTACGGAGGTGTCACAAACTACCTATGATTTCTACAGAATTTTACTTGGTTTTATTCTGTATAAAATTCATTTACAGTCATGCGTAAATAGAATAGTGGTTTTATTTATATGCAAATTTTGTGGATTCATTAACAATTATTAGGACAGCGCTGGAAAAAGCATTTAGGGTCCTTAAGGTTAGAGTCCGGCAGAATTTAGGAGCCTGATTTTAAAAATGAAATCTGTAATTCTCTGCCTAGTTTCTTGGATGCATAAAAGTGTTGGTACACAAGTGACTTTGCCACTAAAAATTTTCAGCGTCTGAAGCTTTGTGAAACGACCTTCCCACTAAGGACCTCATCTTGGATGAACTGAACATCTTGCCACCTGTCTTGTGTCTGGGCTCAAAGATGAAGCATCCTTGTGCCTAAGTGTGAGAGGGATTAGGAACCAGCAGACCGGCTCAGGCAGTGTGTGATGGAAGCTGGCTGCTCACTGCGAAAATGCCTAGGCTCTTTCAATGACCTAGGCTTGGTTTCTTGATCTTAGTCACAGTAATTACACCCCAGAAAATGGGGTATGGTAAACTAAAACATGAAGTAGAGATGATATAAAAAGGAACTGATCTTCTCATTGAATTGCGTTCATGCGCTGTTGCTGTAGAGCGGTGGTCCATGGTGTGGAGGAGTATTGTACAGTAAGTTTTCTAAAGTATGAAGCTGCCTGGGATATAGATAATCTACATTCTAGTGTATGTGCTGTATGAACAAAAAAAAAAAAAAGAAAAAAGTATTAGCTTGAAGTCTTCAGCAGAAGTTGAAATTTTTCAGGTAGAAGAAGAGTTAAAGTTTTACTCTTCATGAACTCTGCGGTATATGCAATCTTTTTGTAGTAGCTTCTGTTTTCAATATTCTGTTAAAATGTACAGTATTTCGGAGGTTCAAAGGAGTGGTAGACCTTTACTGAAAAACCTGAGTGCTGTTGCTTTAACTGTTATCTGCATGTTTCCTCACAGTGAAAAAAAGCCCGACATTTTTAGATGTGAACACAGGACCCTTCATCAGGACCAGCAGCTTTGCCGATGAGCTTGACCTGGAGGGTGAGACACTGTTGACCCCAATAACTCACATCTCACAGTAAGTCAAGGCTGTTGAATTGTGCATTAGTTGACTTAGACAAGAGAAGCCAATTCAGGTGGGAGGAGCTGAAATATGGAGCTGATAGGGCTATCTCCGATATTTGCGTCAAACTGTTTTTACCTTGAAGTTGGTGTATACTGTTCTGAGTGCCAGTAAATCTTCATGTTGACCCAAAGAAAAGTTCACTTGGCTGTGACACAAGGCTTTAGTTTTTAGCTAATGTCTCTGGGCAGCTGGTGGTTGATAGCCTCAAGATTTTCACATGGAGACAATGTGTTGGGCGTACTGTTGAGAATTATATTACTCTCTCCACCATTTTCCAGTGGAATAGCTGTAAAGTGCATGTTTTTGAATACTACTTATATGGAATTTCAGCAGCACATTCTCTAATGGTCAAATGATGATCTGCATTGGAAGAAAAGATCTCTTTTGATCTTTATTAGTTTTGTGGTATATAAAAATAATCTGAAATAGGCCTGTATTTTTTATTTTGTTGGGTATTTTCCCTTTTAAAAGAAGATTTTTCCATTTGTCTTTTATGCTAAAACATTGTCTTCAGGTTCTCACATTATTTTAAAGAACTGAGAATTGCAAAATATTCAAATGCCTTTTAAAAAAAATCTTGTCATTGTTTAATTCAAACTCCTGACAAATGCTGATATTTACCATAGTAGATGTGTAACAGTACATTCGCTAGCAGAGGAATGAGACAGTTTATCCCCCTCCTATTCCTAGAAATCTGAGGATTTCTGCAGTGAAACCACAGATGAAAATTCTTGGCATACTTGTTTTTCTGAGGTACAAAACAGGCATAAATGCCTGCTGCCAATTTTCAGGCCTTTTGCTATACAATATAAATAGCAGAGAAGCACACACATACTTTTTATAGACACTTTAGAAGGGCACTTTTTAAAAAAAACTAGCTTTGGGGGAGTCTTCCCTGCCCCCAAACAAAAGGACTTGTGCATTTTCAGCTGAATCACCAAAGATACATGTAGTTGTAGGCAGAGGATTTGGGAGACTTGTATTCTGGAAGATTTCTTAGTGATACAAGCAGGAGGAGGAAGTCATAAATTTCCTCAAGCCTTACACAAGAACAACAGAGCAGCAACACTAGATCTAGCAGTTTCCTTTGCATAGCTTTTTTTTAAACTTTAATTTACCACAAAGTTGCCGAGTTTCTTTGAAAGAAATAAGCTTTGGTGCTAAGAGTTTTCATTATCCTGTTTGGATATGGGAATGATCTAGTTCTCTCTCATTGTCGCTTTTATTGATACGTTTCAAATAATAAGGTGCTCCATCACTTCTAAGTCAAACTTGTGTAACAGCTGAGTTGTTTTTTTTTTTTTCTGTGAACTACTTGTGTTTTGTAGTGTAATGAGTATTGGCATTCAGGTAACAGATATTCCCAAATACTTTGAAATGAAAAATATTCTAATGTTTGTTTTACTGTTGGGTTGTGCATTCTGCTTGTATTTGAGGTGGTTGGAAAGCAAGCTACTGTGCTGCGTTTTACTGAGCATCCGTGTCGGTGGAGGATGCTGAAGACCAATCAATTCCCATGAATTATTTACACAAACGCATCTTTTTCATTCTTCCTTTCAAAGCCCTAGGGGACAAATATTTATGAACTAGTTACACATACTAGTAGGACCTGCATGTTAGACATGTGGGCATAGAATTAAGGATCAAATTTAGAATTTTGCAATAGCGACATCTCTGTGTGCAAAGCCAAATAGTAATTTTCTGTATAATGAAAGTGGTTAGTCATTTCAGATCCATGTCTCTGTGTTTTTAATTCAGGCTTCAAAGTTATGCTGTGCCTGAGAGAGAATCTAGGAATAATTATTTTCTTCTGATGCCCTCAGTTGTGAAGCATTTTATTTCCTTAAAACCATCATATGTACAGTATGATCGCTCTAGATTTGTTGATAAGGAAATAAGCAACCATATGCAAGTCAAAACCCAAGCACTTAACAAAAATATAGCACCAGCCATGAGAACAAATTAGTATGGAAAAGTCAAATTAAGTGCAAATATCTCTGGTTTCAGGTCTTAAAAGCAGTAATATAAAACACTTGATCTGAGGATGCTTGGATTTGGGATTCATAGAACTATTTCTTGGTTTCCTGGTCAAGTATATATTTATTGCAACATATGAATTAGCTTGTCCATAAACCACAGAAAGGTGGCTCCAGAACAAACATTAATTTTTGTAATTCATAAATACATGAGTAAATATTCCACAGTTTAAATGGAGACATGCAACTGGAAAGTGACAGTGTTAAAAATATTTACGTTTGACAGTTAGTGTTACTACTATCTTACTGACACTTGGCATCGTTGTGGCTTAAAAAAAGAATGAGGCTAAGTTTGTTTCCTCATTTGCATTAGGTCATGGAAAGAAAATGCCATCTTTCGGCCCTTATGACAACGGGCTTTAGGCTTCTAGGCTTGAAGTCCCCTTTAAATTTGATTTCAGTGACCTGATTGTTTATGCAAAAATTATTCTCTTTTTTTGTAAATATAGGTGCATATTCTCACTGAATTTAATAGGACTGTTTTTGTGTCTAATAATAAAAACACAAGTGTGGGGTTTATTTGCAGGATATGCTTCTGGCTGTATTTTAAATCTGCTTTGAAATAAATATTGTACTAAATGTAGCCCTGTTTCTGTGGAATTAGAAATTGGAAATCTTTCATGTGGAAAGCTTACTGTGCCAGTTAATAATTTGTCACTACTACTTTAAGGAAACAAAAATAATAATAGAAGCACTTTGAGACCTGATGTTCAAACAGGAAAGTAATTAAAATGTCATAGAACAAACAGATTTGCAGCAGGTGCAGCAGAAATATAGAATAAGATAGCAGTGCATGGCAGAGTGACTGCACTGCTTCTCCATGAGAAGCCTTATAAGCAGAAGATGCAGATTGAGAGCAATCTGTGTAATTAGATGTTACAGATCTTGCCTATAAAATGAACTACAGCAGTCTGAAGAATGCATTACACAGTGTGATGTTTGAGATAAGACTTGACTCTTCAGTGGTTTGTTTGTTGTGGTCTGTTCTGTTATAAAAGCAAAACCACAGAATCACAGAATAGTAAGGGTTGGAAGGGACCTCTGTGGGTCATCTAGTCCAACCCCCCTGCCGAAGCAGGGTCACCTACAGCAGGCTGCACAGGACTGCATCCAGGCGGGTCTTGAATATCTCCAGAGAAGGAGACTCCACAACCTCCCTGGGCAGCCTGTTCCAGTGCTCCGTCACCCTCAGAGGGAAGAAGTTCTTCCTCATGTTCAGACGGAACTTCCTGTGCCTCAGTTTGTGCCCACTGCCCCTTGTCCTGTCACTGGGCACCACTGAAAAGAGCTTGTCCCCATCCTCCTGACACCCACCCTTCAGATATTTATAAGCATTTATTAGGTCCCCTCACAGCCTTCTCTTCTTCAGGCTGAACAAGCCCAGCCCCCTCAGCCTCTCCTCGTAGCGGCGATGTTCCTTTCTTGGCAGCCAGGGCACACTGCTGGCTCATGGTTAACCTGTCGTCCACCAGGACACCCAGGTCCCTCTCTGCAGAGCTGCTCTCCAGCAGGTCCACCCCAAGCCTGTACTGATGCATGGGGTTGTTCCTCCCCAGGTGCAGGACCCTGCATTTGCCTTTGTTGAACCTCATCAGGTTCCTCTCTGCCCAACTTTCCAGCCTATCCAGGTCACGCTGAATGGCAGCACAGCCTTCCGGTGTGTCTACCACACCTCCCAGTTTGGTGTCATCAGCAAACTTGCTGAGGGTGAAATAGGAAACTAGGTTGTAGTGATACCACACCTCTCCTTTGGACTTCTCACTGTTCTCTTTCTCTCTAACCAGTGCGTTCCGTATTGTCTCCTGTTCCCCGTTTCACTTCATTGGGTGTTTTGTTCTATTTGCATTTTAAAGAAGTGGAAAATTGATGCTACTCGTAGCTGAGCCTCAGCTACCAAGATGTTCTTCCCCTGTGTTCGTGTAATTGTTTAATTTCAGCACCTTTTTAAACTTTACGTTTGGCATTAGCTGAAGTAGCAAAAGAAATTAACCAAGCTCCTAAGCATACAAATGGGAGGGAGAAGGAGAAGCGGTGGGTGGAACTGAGCTGAAAAAGGGAGTGAAGAAAATAGTGAAAAATTGTCAATCTGATATGTTTTATATAAATATTTCTCACTTCTTTAAAGAACTTTAAAAAGAACTCTGCATTGTCCATGAATCTTTCAGAAATGCTACTGAATCAGAAAGAAGTTGATGTCTGTTATTTCTGTAGTTTCCCATTCTCTTTTGTTTAATCAGTTCTGATGTATGAATGGTTGGTATTTCTGCTTCTTAATAAGAGCAATTTTTAGGGAAATACTCTCTCTAAATGTATCGTAAATTTACTGCAGAAATTGTAACATAAATCAAAGGTCATCTCTTGATACTGTATTTAAACTCTTTATATACAAAAAGTAACTTGATTTTTCACAAAGTTTAAAGAAACTGGGAAGACCCCTTAACAACTCATACCTAGCTCCATCACCTGGAGTATCATACCAAATCAGTACTTGCTGTCATAAGACTATGTAAATAAATATACTGTCTAACTATGCAAATTGCTGGCAAAATTCTTGATCTTTAAATTGTGAGTATGGTATTACTTCATATACATCTTTCTCTCTAATTTTTTTTGAAGGAATTACTGTGGATCCAGCTGACTTCAGGAAATGTATTTCTTGCTGAAAGCAGTTGCTAACATTGTACATTCGTGATCCTGTTGTTGTCTGAATGGTCAAAATAATAATTCTTGATGTTTTAATGACTCTTCCCCACATATCATGTGCCTTTATTGGAGTGATGAAAATACATTTCATTAGTTAACGGTTGGTTTTGTCAATGTGTCAATGCACATATAAAATCATTTTTCAGTGGAGGCTTTCTTGCAATGGCATACACTGTGATCTTAGATTTAATACAATAAGCTTACACTAAAACA